GAGTTCTAGCAAAATATTCATGATTTTTGTCGACTAGTACAGTGGAATTGGCTGAAAATAGGGCTCAAAGTGGGCAAAATCTGCGATGCATAAACATCGTCGAGACCGCTAACTTCGCGAGAGCATAATTCCATAAGTTTTCCATCAAATTTCATACTTTTGGTGTCATTATGATCGGCAAAAGATTCTGTGTTTTCATAAGGAAAAATAATTTTTTTTTTTTTTTTTTTGAAATTTGGGCGACCCTGAGAACAAGTCTCTGAGAGGGCCTGTTGACCCTGATAGGGTTAATGGTATTGTAAATAATTTTTTTTTTAAAAAGTCGGCTGTCTCCCACCGAGGCAGGGTGACCCAAAAAGAAAGAAAATCCCCAAAATGAAAATACTTTCATCATTCAACACTTTCACCTCACTCACACATAATCACTGTTTTTGCAGAGGTGCTGAGAACACAACAGTTTAGAAGCATATAGTACGTATAAAGATACACAACATGTCCCTCCAAACTGCTAATATCCCGAAACCCTCCTTTACAGTGCAGGCATTGTACTTCCCATTTCCAGGACTCAAGTCTGGCTATATAAAAATAACTGGTTTCCCTGAATCCCTTCACTAAATATTACCCTGCTCACACTAACAGATCGTCAGGTCACAAATACCATTCGTCTCCATTCACTCCTATCGAACACGCTCATGCACGCCTGCTGGAAGTCCAAGCCCCTCGCCCACGAAACCTCCCTTACCCCTTCCTTCCAACCTTTTCGAGGATGACCCCTACCCCGCCTTCCTTCCCCTACAGATTTAAATGCTCTCCAAGTCATTCTACTTTGATCCATTCTCTCTAAATGACCAAACCACCTCAACAACCCCTCTTCAGCCCTCTGACTGATACTTTTATTAACTCCACACCTTCTCCTAATTTCCACACTCCAAATTTTTTGCATAATATTTACACCACACATTGCCCTTAGACAGGACATCTCCAATGCCTCCAACTGCCTCCTCGCTGCTGCATTCACAACCCAAGCTTCACACCCATATAAGAGTGTTGGTACTACTGTACTATCATACATTCCCTTCTTTGCCTCCATAGATAGCTTTTTTGTCTCCACATATACCTCAATACACCACTCACCTTTTTCCTTCATCAATTCTATGATTAACCTCATCCTTCATAAATCCATCAGCCGACACGTCAGCTCCCAAGTATCTGAAAACATTCATTTCTTCCATACTCCTCCTCCCCAATTTGATATCCAATTTTTCTTTATCTAAATCATTTGATACCCTCATCACCTTACTCTTTTCTATGTTCACTTTCAACTTTCTACCTTTACACACACTCCCAGACTCATCCGCTAACCTTTGCAATTTTTCTTTAGAATCTCCCATAAGCACAGTATCATCAGCAAAAAGCAAATGTGTCAATTCCCATTGTGTATTTGATTCCCCATAATTTAATCCCACCCCTCTCCCGAACACCCTAGCATTTCTTTTACAACCCCATCTATAAATATAGTAAACAACCATGGTGACATTACACATCCCTGTCTAAGACCTACTTTTACTGGGAAGTAGTCTCCCTCTCTTCTACACACCCTAACCTGAGCCTCACTATCCTCATAAAAACTCTCTACAGCATTTAGTAACTTGCCACCTATTCCATATACAGTGGAACCTCAAAAATCGAGCGTATCACATATCAAACGTTTCTCAAATAAGACCAATTTTTCGGACAAACTGTGTCCCTATTATTGAACACGCCCCTATTTTCGGACCGCCGGGTACGTGACCTGTCCGCGTCCCCACGCAGGCGCCGTGAGCAGTCTAGCTTTGTTTATGCTTGAGTGAACACTAACCTGCGATCTCATTCACACATTTTACGATTATTTAATTGTGTTTAGTGCTTGTGGGGCTGTGAAATAAGCTGCCATGGGCCCAAAGAAACTTGCTAGCGGTACCCCTGTGGTAAAGAAAGTGAGAAACACCATAGATGTGAAGAAGGAAATAACACAGAAGTATGAGATTGGAGTGAGACTTGTTGACAAACAGACGATTGTGGACAGTTATTTTGTGAGACAGAAACAGACAACTGTGGACAGTTATTTTGTGAGACAGAAACAGATGACTGTGGACAGTTATTTTGTGAGACAGAAACAGACGACTGTGGAGTTATTTTGTGAGACAAACAGACGATTGTGGACAATTATTTTGTGAGACAGACAACTGTGGACAGTTATTTTGTGAGACAGAAACAGACAACTGTGGAGTTATTTTGTGAGACAGAAACAGACAACTGTGGAGTTATTTTGTGATACAGAAACAGACGACTGTGTATAGTTATTTTGTGAGACAGAAACAGAGGACTGTAGACAGTTATTTTGTGAGACAGGGGTCCAATGACTCTCAAGCTGGTCCTAGTGGCATTAAAATACAGAGAAGGGAAGCAACCCCAGAGAGGGCTTTGATACCGGAAGTCCTCATGGAGGGGGATTCTCCTTCCAAACAATAACCCCAACTCCCTCTCTCCTCCTCCCTATCTTCCAGATGCCATCACCAATCTTCAGTAAAGGTAAGTAAAAATGTTATTTTATATTACTATACATAATTAAAGACTATAGCATTTGTTGTGTGCATGTAAAACTGTAATTAATCTCTATAAAATGTATTTTTTTGTGAATATTTTTGGGTTTCTGGAACGGATTAATTGTATTTCCATTATTTCTTATGGGAAATATTGCTTCGAATTTCAGACTTTTCGAATTTAGAACTAGTTCCTGGAACGGATTAAGTTCGAAATTTGAGGTTCCACTGTACTTGCAACATCTGCCACATTGCTCCCCTATCCACTCTATCATATGTCTTTTCTAAATCCATAAATGCAATAAAAACTTCCCTATATCTAAATACTGTTCACACATATATGCTTCAATGTAAACACTTGATCTTCACATCCCCTACCCACTCTGAAACCTCCTTGCTCATCTGCAATCCTACATTCTGTCTTACCTCTAATTCTTTCAATTATAACCCTACTGTATACTTTTCCTGGTATACTCAGTAAACTTATTCCTCTATAATTTTTACAATCTCTTTTGTTCCCCTTCCCTTTATATAAAGGGACTATACATGCTTTCCACCAATCCCAAGGTACCTTCCCCTCTTACATACATTTATTAAACAAAAATACCAACCACTCCAACACTACATCCCCCCTGCTTTTAACATTTCTGTCATGATCCCGTCAGTTCCAGCTGCTTTACCCCCTTTTATTCTACATAATGCCTCACGCACCTCCCCCACAGTCACATCCTGTTATTTTTCACTCCTAAAAGATGGTATACCTCCCTGGCCAGTGCATGAAATTACCGCTTCCCTTTCTTCGTTGACATTTAAAAGTTCCTCAAAATATTCTCGCCATCTACCCAAAACCTCCATCTCCCCATCTACTAACTCCCCTACTCTGTTTTTAAGTGACAAATCCATTCATTCTCTAGGCTTTCTTAACTTGTTTAACTCCAAAATTTTTTCTTATTTTGACAGTGCCTCTCCCACTCTATCATCTGCTCTCCTTGTACACTCTCTCACCACTCTCTTCACCTTTCTTTTACTCTCCATATACTCTACTGTTCTTAACACTTCTGCTTTGTAAAAACCTCTCATAAGCTAACTTTTTCTCTTTTATCACACTCTTTACTTCATCATTCCACCAATCATTCCTCTTTCCTCCTGCACCCACCCTCCTATAACCACAACTTCTGCCCCACATTCTAATACTGCATTTTTAAAACTATTCCAACCCTCTTCAGCCCCCCCCCCCCCACTACTCATACTTGCACCAGCCCACCTTTTCTGCCAATAGTTGCTTATATCTCACCTGAACTTCCTCCTCCCTTAATTTATACACTTTCACCTCCCTCTTGCTTGTTGTTGCCATTTTCCTCTTTTCCCATCTACCTCTTTCTCTAACTGTAGCTACAACTAAATAATGATCCGATATATCAGTTGCCCCTCTATAAACGTGTACATCCTGGAGCCTATCCATCAACCTTTTATCCACCAATACATAATCTTACAAACTACTTTCTTTACATGCTATATCATACCTTGTATATTTATTTATCCTCTTCTTCATAAAATATGTGTTACTTATTATCAAACCTCTTTCTACACATAGCTCAATTAAAGGCTCCCTGTTTTCATTTACCCCTGTCACCCGAAATTTACCTACTACTCCCCCCACAACATTTTTGCCCACTTTAGCATTGAAATCCCCAACCACCATTACTCTCACACTTGGTTCAAAACTCCTCACGCATTCACTCGACATTTCCCAAAATCCCTCTCTCCTGTACACTTCTCTCTTCTCCAGGTGCATATACGCTTACTATAACCCACTTTTCACATCCAACCTTTATTTTACTCCACATAATCCTTGAATTAATACATTTATATTCCCTCTTTTCCTGCCATAACTTATCCGTCAACATTATTGCTACTCCTTCTTTAGCTCTAACTCTATTTGAAACCCCTGACCTAATCCCATTTATTCCTCTCCACTGAAACTCTCCCACCCCCTTCAGCTTTGTTTCACTTAAAGCCAGGACATCCAGCTTCTTCTCATTCATAACATCCACAATCATCTCTTTCTTATCATTTGCACAACGTCCAGACTTCACGCACGTTCAGACTTCACACTTTGACAATTTTCTTCTTCTTTTTCTTTTGTTAAGTATTATTTTTAGTAATTATTTTATGAGGTCTTAAATAGATTAATTTAATCAGATTTGTGCATTAACTTCTGTAATGGTATTATTAATTTCCTGATGCATGCAAGCACTGAATGATCACTAGTTCCCATTGCTTGCACAAATTACAAAATACAAATTTGACTCACGATTTGTAATATGATAAGCTGGTAGTATTACTGTACAAAACAAGAGCTGGTGTGTCTTGATGACTGTTTTCAAGCAAGAGTAATCTCTTTTTCTCTTTCTTCAGTATTCACAAGTGTGAGGATGTTATTGGTGACACATGTACAATTGAGGTAGATCCTGAGGAAGATGCTTGGCATTATTTAAAGCTTACCACTCCAACTGGGATGTCAGTTCAGCTCAGTATGGCTGTTAAGCTCTTCTGTGAGTTATTTAAAACAAATTGCTTCTTAATTAACAAAAATTATGTGAATTATATTAAAATTGTATATATACTTGCCTACAAATTTAGACTGTTCATTAAATTTTTAACATAAAATTTGTCATAGATTTGCAATGATTCAAACAGCATTATTAGGAAATCGTCAGATGTGTACTGTATCATTACAGTATACAGTGGACCCCCGGTTTACGATATTATTTCATTCCAGAAGTATATTCAGGTGCCAACTGAACGAATTTGTTCCCATAAGGAATATTGTGAATTAGGTTGGTCCATTTCGGACCCCCAGACATACACGTACAAACGCACTTACATAAATACACTTACATAATTGGTCGCATTGGGAGGTGATCGTAAAGCGGGGGTCCACTGTACTATACTGTTTATGCATGGTGAGTACAGTACTATGTAGTATACTGTACTTCGTAATTTCTTCCTTTTTAAGAAAAAACTTTTTAATAATTAATTTTAATTATATTTGGTCACAGTGTGCGATGCATTAGGTGGAAATATTTACCATTCTATGAGTGGTGGTAAGATGACCATGAACCAGTTGAGCCCCGAGGAGAGTCTAGGGGCAGGAAGCCCTCCATTTGTTAACTTGTCCATCAGTGATGCAGATGACACCAACAATATATCATTTGTAACAAAGGAACAAGGACTGCCACATCGCATTCTCTTCATGCCAACTCAGAATACCAAGCAGCATATTGCTGAAAACTGTTGGCCAAGGTAATTCGTACTGTACCCAACTTGATTTTGCTTTGAAATATATGTTTGAGTACATAGCTGTAAGACTTACCATTTATATATTATTGCCCTACATCAAAATGCTGCTGAATCTTCAATATTAGTATTTTTGTTGCTTCCTCAGGAATGAAATTCATTACTAAAAACTGTATTTATAGTATTAATCTTAAGAAAAATATTAACATTTACAAGTTGTTGGAGTATGACCAAGGTAACATTTTGTGAAGGGATTCAGGGAACCAGTTAGTCAGACTTGACTACTGAATGTGGAAAGTTTAGTGCTTGTACTGAACTTTCCACCTCCAGGAGGGGCATCTGATCGGTAGTATCAGCATGCCTCTGTCAAAAAATTGATGGAGTAAATGATGGTAAAAGTGTTTTTTTTTGGGGGGGGTCACCCTACCTTGATGGGAGGTAGCCAGTGTTTTAAAACAAAATTGCAAAGCAGTGGTAATATACATTTTAATAAAATAGATAAAAAATACCCATACCATCAATATATACTACTGTAAATGATCAATATAATTTTTTTTTTTAACACGTCGGCTGTTTCCCACCGGTTTCCTTGAATCCCTTCACAAAATATTACCCTAGTCACACTCCAACAGTTCGTCAGATCCCAAAAACCTTTCGTCTCCATTCACTCCTATCTAACGTGCTCATGCACGCTTGCTGGAAGTTCAGGCCCCTTGCCCACAAAACCACCTTTACCCCCTCCCTCCAACCTTTTCGAGGGTGACCCCTACCCCACCTTCCTTCTCCTACATTTATATGCTGTCCAAGTCATTCTACTTCATTCCATTCTCTCTAGATGACCAAACCACCTCAACAACTCTTCAGCCCTCTGACTAATACTTTTAGTAACTCCACACCTCCTAATTTCTACTCTACAAATTTTCTGCATAACATTTACACCACACATTGCCCTTAGACATGACATCTCCACTGTCTCCAGCCTCCTCCTCCTTGCTACAGCACTCATATGAGAGTGTTGGTACCACTATATTCTTGTACATTCCCTTCTTTGCTTCCATGGATAACGTTTTTTGTCTCCACATACCACAGATTCCACAGATACCTCAGTGCACCACTCACCTTTTTTCCTTCATCAATTCTGTGGTTAGCCTCATCTTCATCAGTATAATATCAGTGTTAATTTGAGGGGAGAAACATTTAAAATTGTGAAGATGCCTAGATACCTTGGACAAGGAATAAAACTTGAAAATTGAGTACTGTAGAGAAAAACAGATTTCCTTAACCCGTAAACGGTTCAAACGTATATATACGTTCACTACTGTACTGCCCCAACTTTTTTGAGAAAAAAAAAATTGTTGTTTTTTAACCTTTAAGCGGTCCAAACATATATATACGTTCACGCGCGTAGCGCCCCAAACATATATATACGTTTTCTTTGTCATTCATTCAACATTGCCACAATAAGCCTGAGTCACCTAGACATGAGAGAATGGGTGTGTGCACTCACTGTGTGCCATATTAAAATAATTGGGGATGCCTGGGTACCATATGCTCTTTCTTCCTTTTAAAAGAAAAGATTTTTTTTTTTCCTCAAAAAATTTGGGGCGCTACGCGAGTGAACATATATATACGTTTGGACCATTTAAGGGTTAATAAGAAAAAAGAGCATATGGTACCCAGGCATCCCCAATTACTTTAATATGGTGCACAGTGAGTGCTCACACCCATTCTCACATGTCTAGGCGACTCAGGCTTATTGTGGCAATGTTAAATGTAGGACACATAAAACGTATATATACGTTTGGGGCACTAGCGGTAAAAACGTATATATACGTTTGGACTGTTTACGGGTTAAATTATTAAGAGAAGATATTCCAAGAAGAAGAACAGGATGTGGGTGTGGGGGAGGTACATGAGGCATTACGTAGAATGAAAGGGGGTAAAGTAGCTGGAACCGATAAGATCATGACAGAAATGTTAAAAGCAGGAGAGGATATAGTGTTGGAGTGGTTGGTATTTTTGTTTAATAAATGTATGAAAGAGAGGAAGGTACCTAGGATTGGCAGAGAGCATGTATAGTCCCTTTATATAAAGGGAAGGGGAACAAAAGAGATTGTAAAAATTATAGAGGAATAAGTTTACTGAGTATACCAGGAAAAGTGTATGGAGGGTTATAATTGAAAGAATTAGAGGTAAGACAGAATGTAGGATTGCAGATAAGCAAGGAGGTTTCAGAGTGGGTAGGGGAAGTGTAGATCAAGTGTTTACATTGAAGCATGTATGTGAACAGTAGTTAGATAAAGGTAGGGAAGTTTTTATTGCATTTATGGATTTAGAAAAGGCATATGATAGAGTGGATAGGGGAGCAATGTGGCAGATGTTGCAAGTATATGGAATAGGTGATAAGTTACTAAATGCTGTAAAGAGTTTTTATGAGGATAGTGAGGCTCAGGTTAGGGTGTGTAGAAGAGAGGGAGACTACTTCCCAGTAAAAGTAGGTCTTAGGGATGTGTAATGTCACCATGGTTGTTTAATATATTTATAGATGGGGTTGTAAAAGAAGTATGCTAGGGTGTTCAGGAGAGGGGTGGGATTAAATTATGGGGAATTAAATACAAAATGGGAATTGACACAGTTGCTTTTTGCTGATGATACTGTGCATATGGGAGATTCTAAAGTAAAATTGCAAAGGTTATTGGATGAGTTTGGGAGTGTGTGTAAAGGTAGAAAGTTGAAAGCGAACATAGAAAAGAGTAAGGTGATGAGGGTATCAAATGATTTAGATAAAGAAAAATTGGATGTCAAATTGGGGAGGAGGAGTATGGAAGAAGTGAATGTTTTCAGATACTTGGGAGTTGACGTGTCAGCGGATGGATTTATGAAGGATGAGGTTAATCATAGAATTGATCAGGGAAAAAAGGTGAGTGGTGCATTGAGGTATATGTGGAGACAAAAAACTTTATCTATGGAGGCAAAGAAGGGAATGTATGAAAGTATAGTAGTACCAACACTCTTATATGGGTGTGAAGCTTGGGTTGTGAATGCAGCAGCAAGGAGGCGGTTGAAGGCAGTGTCTAAGGGCAATGTGTGGTGTAAATATTATGCAGAAAATTTGGAGTGTGGAAATTAGGAGAATGTGTGGAGTCAATAAAAGTATTAGTCAGAGGGCTGAAGAGGGGTTGTTGAGGTGGTTTGGTCATTTTGAGAGAATAGATCAAAGTAGAATGACATGGAAAGCGTTTAAATGTGTAGGGGAAGGAAAGCGGGCTAGGGGTCATCCTCGAAAAGGTTGGAAGGAAGGGGTAAGGGAGGTTTTGTGGGCGAGGGGCTTGGACTTCCAGCAGGTGTGTGTGAGCGTGTTTGATAGGAGTGAATGGAGACGAATGGTATTTGGGACCTGATAATCTGTTGGAGTGTGAGCAGGGCAATATTTAGTGAAGGGATTCAGGGAAACCAGTTATTTTCATATAGCCAGACTTGAGTCCTGGAAATGGGAATTACAATGCCTGCACTGTAAAGGAGGGTTTCCGGATATTAGCAGTTTGGAGGGATATGTCGTGTATCTTTATACATATATACTTCTAAACTGTTGTGTTCTCAGCACCTCTGCAAAAACAGTGGTTATGTGTGAGTGAGGTGAAAGTGTTGAATGATGATGAAAGTATTTTCTTTTTGGGTCACCCTGCCTCGGTGGGAGACAGCCGACTTGTTAACAAAAAAAAAAAAATCCAAGAATGTAATCACTGTGGTTTATTTTTAATAGGGTTCTTTGGTTGTCTTCCTGGGATATAATTAACTAACTTCTAGGTACTTAGTTATTGTTAGGTACCTTTGATATACCTTATACCTTTGAAGAGTTTCGAGAGTTTTTCTACTCTCTGAGCCCGACCATGAGTCAGGCTCGTCTGGTGCTTGCCTGGTCAACCAGGCTGTTGCTGCTAGAGGCCCGCTGCCCCACATATCCATCACAGCCTGGTTGATCTGCACCTGGTGAAGATACTTGTCCAGTTTTCTCTTGAATGCTTCTACACTTGTTCCAGCCTTGTTTCTGATATCTTCTGGTAAGATGTTGATACAGTGTTCTCTTATTGTCCCCACCACACTGCTGCTCCTCACTGGGTTTATTTTACACATCCTCCCACATCTCTCACTCCAGTATGTTGTTATGGCAGTGTGCAAATATGGGAACAGGCCCTTGAGTACTTTCCAGGTATATGTTATGTACGTATCTCTCTTTCCTCCTCTCCAATGAGTACATGTTCAAGACTTGAAGGCATTCCCAGTAGTTTAGGTGCTTTACTGGCTCAGTGTGAGCCATAAACGATCTCTGTATTTGTTCCAGCTCCGATATTTCTCCTGCTTTGAACGGGGCTGTCAGCACTGAGCAATATTCTAAGTGAGAGAGCACTAGTGATTTGAAGGGTGTCACCATCAACATTATTTCCCTTGTTTTGAAAGTTCTCAGTACCCACCCTGTCATCTTCCTGGCTGTTGTGATCTTTGTCTTATTATGATCTTTAAAAGAAAGGTCAGCTGACATAATTATTCCCAGGTCTTTTACGTGTTCCTTATGTTCTATTTGGTGACCCTCTTGAGATTTGTATATAGTGTTCCTTTTGAGTTCTTCATTCTTTCCAGATAAAAGAAGACTTGCTCATATGTCTTGCTTGTCTGTGGTTTGAATCCTCTTGCTTGCCCACAGACTAAATCCAGGTCCTTTTAGTTTTTGAGGAGAATACTTTACTACAGAGTTATAATCCACCCTATTAAAGATGGAGGTACTGTACTTCAAGAGCTGTGAAGTACAGAATGGAAAGTAGTAGAATATGTACCTGAAATTTGCTAAAAAAGAATTAAATATACAGTAGGGGCCCCACTTATATGGCAGGTTAGGTTCCAGGCTACTGCCAGAAAGCAGACATCTCTGGAAAGCAGACCGCCATTTGTTTCCACTTAATAAGTTTCCACTAACATATATTAAGTTAGCAATAGAACAAGGCATTAAA